GGTACATCTGTATGCTGATGGTGTGGGACTGCGCGTTAGTCAGGTTGGTGTTGGAGGCCACACAGGTGACTTCCCTCCCATTGTCCTCCCTCCTGAGGCTGGGCAAGTGCAGTATAACGCCCACCACCGTCGTGGGAGCCTCTCCCCCACGCCCGCGAGCTCTGTGTGTGGGCGTGCTGGCCGGCTGCGTCAGTGAGGACTCCAGAAGCTGATCCCCTGACACCCACTCCACCACTGGTAGTGGATAACCTGACGACCAAACATGACTCCTGTAAATGTTCCTCGCATCGCAACTAAATATTACTCATCTGTTTCAATAAATGAAACTGAATTAGTGCAGTGATACCTTATTATCCATTTATCCACTTTATTAATTATTATTATTATTATTATTATTATTATTATTATTATTATTATTATTATTATTATTTAAAAGCTAATTTAGAAATAATAAAATAATTATTATTACAGCAATAATAATAATAATAATGTGTGAGATAGAGACATATACAATATACTATTAATTTTTATGACTGTTTACCTTGGCTATACAACGGTATAGATCCTATTGAAAGAGACAGTCTTGTAAAATAAAATATTTGTTTACATACATTTCTTGTCACATTTGTAAATGGTTCAAGTTGGACCAAAACGTCGTGGTCAGTTCCTCTCCCCTTTGTGCGAGTTATTTATGTATTAACGTATGAGAACAAAAAATATTTTTGCAAGTGTCCTTTAAGGAAAAATTCTCTTGTTAATCTACGTTAGTTTCCAGTCCTTGTCAGAGAGATTTCTTTGTAGAAAATCTGAGATTATATTATACCCTCTCCTTTGAGAAAACAGTTTAGTCATATCCGGTCTCAAAGACCGGATATGGTATCTACAATTTCCCCTTGGAAGCTGCCACATCCCAGTGAGGAAAATTAGAGCATTACTGTCAGCATCAAAGTCTTGATACAACTGACAGAGCCGACGGGCCACAGTACCGTCTTTAATGGTATTTACTATTTTAAGTTCATCTTTAAGGACTTATTTACCCTTATTTGGTAGTGTCATGGACGCCAAACCATGGCCCATGGAATTATAGTAACACAATTTGCAAACGATGTACCAGAGTATATCAATAAATAACGCAATTAATGTTTTCTTAATTTCTTCAATTCATTCAGTCTAAATCCCGAGTGAATACCAAGAATATCTGGTGCGCCGTCAGTCGTGCGTGCACACACATTCTTCCACGTCACTCCCTCATCCTCAAAGACACATGGTTTTCTGACATTTTTCGATAAGAATAAACTTTGATGCATTTTCGTGTATTACACTGAAACATACCTTTGTTAAGGAAGAATGTTTCTGGGAACTTGACGTTTGTCTCTAAAATGCTGATTGCAAACTAATTCATTTAAAAGAATAATAATGACATACCAACACAAGAAATCATAATGGATCAGCACGTACCCCTGGTACTCCAAGTACCCCTGGTACTCCGTCGGAGTACCCCTGGGGTGCGCGTACTCCAGTTTGAGAACCGCCGCTATGCTAGAGGATGAAGATATTAGACCTACGGGATCACAACTCTATATAGTATATTGATAAAATAGTTTTAGGACATGCTTTCTCAGAGGGGAGGGGATGCCTTTAGCATGATTAAGGGCTCCTGATCCAAGGATTCACACCTTCACTCTTCACTAGTTATGTGTGAGCTTGATACAAAGACCCGCTGAGCATGGGCAGTAGGCTTCTCACAGTGCTTTTCAATTCTTACGTTTCTGCTTTATACGAGTTTAATTATTAACGTTTCCCATTAACTATAATAATATAAATTCTAGGCGAATTCCTAATACTGGTTTCAGTAATAAATAAAAAGAATCTTTGGCCAAAAATGACGCTTATTCATGTGGTTGCCTCACAGTCACACTTGGCTCAGTTAATAACAGACAGTGAAAGACAGATTATGCAGAATAAAAAGACATTTGAAAAAGAATTTCCACCACGGACAGGGATAAAAAAACGGCTGAAATAACAGCCACTAAAAATATTCTTACAGAATATGAATGATGACAACAGCCAACATTGCATGATAAAAAAAATGCAACACTAAAACAAATGGTTATTTTTTATATTAAATTCGCAGACAAATAAAGAAAGAAGAAAATGTAATCGATATAGTAATGGCTTTTAGGTTTATTTGCATTAGTAAAGAAATCAGATAAAAGAAATCAATAAAACAAATTATCTCGTTCATAGATTAATGTAAAATAATATAGATTATTGGTTTTGTAACATATGATAATTTTACAATCATAATTATTATTATTATTATTAATGTTTTTAGTAACACATTGGCCGTCTCCCACCAAGGCAGGGTAACCCAAAAAAGAAGAAACACTTTCATCATCATTCCCTCCATCACTGTCTTGCCAGAGTCGTGCCGACAATACAGTTAAAGGACTGCAACATAACTCCATCCTTCCTTCGGTGCACAAGCACTGTACTTCCCACCTCCAGGACTCAAGTCTGGCTAACCGATCTCCATGAATCCCTTCATAAATGTTACTTTGCTTACACTCCAACAGAACGTCAAGTCATAAAAACCATTTGCCTCCACTTGCTCCTATCTAACACGCTCACACACGCTTGCTGGAAGTCGGAGCCCCTCGCACCCAAAACTCCTTTACTTCCCTCCCTCCAACCTTTCCTAGGATGACCCCTACCCTGTCTTCCCTCCACTACGGATTTATACACCTCTAAGTCATTCTATTTGGTTAAATCCTCTCTACATGTCCGAACCACCTCAACATTTCCTCCTCAGCCCTCTGGATAATACTTTTAGAAACCCACACCTCCTCCTAATCTCCAAGCTATGGATTCTCCACAGTATATTCACACCACACACATTCCCCTTATATACAACATCTCCACTGCCTCCAGCCTTCTCCTAGTTGCAACATTCCCACTTCTCACCAATACATTCATACACTCATACATTCCCCTCTTTGCTTCCATGGATAATGTACTTTGTCTCCACAGATTCTCAATGCACCATTCATCTTTATTATTATTACTATTATTATTATTATTATTATTATTATTATTATTATTATGATTATTATTATAGGAAGTAATGGTGTTTGATACGAATAGAGGATAACTGAAAAGGAAACTCCTTGTTTCAATAACATTCAGCCAGCCTCCAAGAGTTCCTTTGGAGGCGAAAAATACGCGTTAAAAACAGGTTGACCTACCACCATACGCCCGGCAGGACAGCATAACCCTTGAAGACAGCTCGTACGGCCCAGCCACTTCTCCCACCATGTTTTCATAAGCGTCGAAGACCTTCAAGCTGCGCACCTCCTCTGTGTAAACACAGTTCTATTGTAAGTGCAAACACAGTTCCATTGTAAGTAAATAGTTACACGGTAAATGCAAACACAGTTCCATTGTAACTCTCAACACAGTTCCATTGCAAGTCTAAACACAGTTCCATTGTAGAGGCAAACATAATTCCAAGTAGCGTAAATATACATAATTTCTGACCAGATTTCCTAATATAGCCTATAAATGAATAAGCGCAAGTCAAACCATACCCCCGGCCGGGATTGAACCCGCGGTCATAGAGTCTCAAAACTCCAGCCCGTCGCGTTAGCCACTAGACCAGCTAGCCACAATAAGATTCATCCAACTAGGTATATTTCTACACCATAGGAAGGTTAGCACAGGCACCTCTGTGACCACAAATGCAAGTTTTTACAGACGAATCTCCAGCTAGCGTGGCCGTGACGAACTCTAGTTGGAGATTCGTCTGTAAAAACTTGCATTTGTGGTCACAGTGGTGCCTGTGCTAACCTTCCTATGGTGTAGAAATATACCTAGTTGGATGAATCTTATTGTGGCTAGTTGGTCTAGTGGCTAACGCGACGGGCTGGAGTTTTGAGACTCTATGACCGCGGGTTCAATCCCGGCCGGGGGTATGGTTTTGTTTGCAATCGTGTCATTACGATTTCTTGAGTCAAGCGCAAGTCGCATGTGAATGTAAATAACTACCTACTGTTTGATCCTAAAGTTTAATATAGGCAGTGAATGGAGAGATAAAAATTGTAAGTAAAAAAACAAAAAGCATAATATTCTATCCTAAAGTTACAGTGTAGCGTGTAAACACAACACCAAGACATTTTTAGAGTAAGGATAGAGTGGACGAGAATTTCCCGGTAATGGCGTGTGACCAAATGTTGAATATTGATTACATGAAGGTATAAGTAATTCTCTTGGCTCTCCCTGCAGCCTTGTAAGACACGACTTATTTATGTAGCACCGTTTCCTCCTCGTGCTGGCGAATAAAATGTGGTGTAATAGTGTTGTTCTCGTGATTAGTTTAGGTTTCAAAGTTTTTGTCCTCTAATTTCCTGACATAAACATCGACTGGGAATTGATATTCCAATATTTGCATGCATAGTTGAGAAAGTAGGAGAGGTGGCGACGTTTGTGAGGTGATGTGTAGCTGGAAGTTTGACAGTGTTAGAAGAGAGAGACAGAACAACGACAGACTCACCATGGACAGAGAGTTGCAATAATGACATCATTGTCTGCGACGTCATGAAGTCAACACGACAAGTATAGTTGCCAGCGTCGGCCAGAGAGATGGACTCTACCTCCAGGAAGCCTAGCCTCGCCTGGCCAAAAAAAGAAACGTAATATACTAGACGTAATGTACTAGACTTAATACACTATTCATGATATATAAGACATAAACCATAAACACGACAGATTAATATTGAGTGGAAGTTTTATTAACTCTCCTGCTTGGAAATAAACACATCATGGAAAAACTATCAATACATAACTAACTAGCAAATTGGTGAGTTGCTGCAGCAACAGTGTTGTGGATTTTATATATTTACTGCCATTACTTCTGGTTGATACTTTTGTAATTTAAGGAAACCAATACTTGGTGTTATTTTAAGTTACATTATATATATATATATATATATATATATATATATATATATATATATATATATATATATTATATATTATATATATATATATATATATATATATATATATATATATATGTTTATATACGTGAGCGTGTACGTGTAATGTATATGTATACTCAGAGTTTACTTTAATCGCTCATTCTAGAATTAAAGTATTGTTGACTGGCAGTGAACAGGTTTCATGCAACTTTGAGTAATCGACAGACTTTACGCCCAGTTAACTATGGTATGATAATTTTGTTGATGAAGATCATAGGTGTGGTGACGGAGGACATAGTTACGGGGATAAAAATAATTGGTTTACTAACGTAAACAAATTTGGTGAACAATTAAAGTGAAGTATATATACGCGATAAAACTAGATATATAATCAAAATTTAACCAAAAACACGAGGTTCTAAAAGTATGCAAAACGAAGGAAAACGCTTGATTAACACTGTAAAAATCCCCCCCCCCCCGATAAAAAGGACAAAAACAATATAAACACAGTCAAAAATATGATAGCCAGTGCCAAAAGTCTGTTCAACAAAACTCGGAATATAATACAGTCGGGATGGGGTTGGGGGATTTTACCGTACAAAGTATGATGTATAATATTGAAGGTAAGGATTATAGAGAACAGGAAAGTGTTATAATGAGCAAAAACCTTTTATGTAAAGTATTGAAAACACTAGTATTTTAATCGTGAAGAACTGCGTAGTAAATAAAGATCGTATCTGGTATAATGGCGGTAACATTTATAATTGGTAATTGGCTTGGTTTAAAAAGTACATCCACGTTATGCAAGGATGATGATAAAACAACAGTATTTCATATATATTTGATGACAAAAGCTGCCGCTGTATTAATATCAGAATTAAAATCTGCCAAATTAATTTCCACTATTCAACACAGGTAGCTTTTTTTTTTTTGTCAGCAGAGATATTACTCAATCCTAAGGATATATACACTTAAGAGGCGTACGTCTCTCGGTGTACACACCGACAGCTTATTTTAATCCCATTAAAAGGGATTAAATTAATCTTGATTGATGATGAACAAGTGAGGTGCAGCTTTAATGAACCTTGGAGTGCTCGAAGGGTTAAGCGCAATTAACCAACCATTTAATCTCAGTAAAATGATAACTCATTCGTTGTAACTTACTGTCGTATGAACGAGGTTCTTGGTTCAAGTTGGTTAACGGGATATAAAGCCTATTGACGACAATAGGGCCATTAAGGCTCTTCGGCAACCTCTTCACCAGACAAGAACGTTGTAATTCCCAAAATAGGGATAAAGGTAAACTCTCAGCGTATATATACACAAGAGAGAGGTACACCTCTCGGTGTATATACCCTGTGAGGTCTTCCTTGTTGTTTTATTCGTCAGGAGAGGCAGTAAAGGTGTCTGCTGATACGGGTCTTAATCCTGTAGATGACCCGAGCTTAAAGAAGTATTTACTGAAACGGATCTCATTTATCATCTTCTGCTGACTTACTCTTCAATAAGAAAAATATGTATATACTATCATATACATGTATGTATATGAGAGAGAGAGAGATCGCAGTCAGCAGGACTCGATACTGCTACTGAGATGGACAAGATTCCAAGGCAGCGCTCTTATCCACTCGGCCACAAATGCCACATAAGCTGAGAAGCCTGGTTCACAGGTCAACCGGACTGGGAGGGAAACATGGCTTGTGACCCAGGCTGCCCAGCTTATGTGGCATTTGTGGCCGAGTGGATAAGAGCGCTGCCTGGGAATCTTGACCGTCTCAGTAGCAGTATCGAGTCCTGCTTCCCGTGATCTCTTGCTCTGTGTGACTCTCTTACACGAACAACAAGACTCTTATAGACGCCATTTAAAACCCATGTTTTATGTTGCACATTATTGAAATTCCATGTTGCACATTATTTAGATTCCATGTTGCATGTTGCACATCATTTAAATTTCATGTTGCACATCATTTAAATTTCATGTTGCACATCATTTAAATTTCATGTTGCACATCATTTAAATTTCATGTTGCACATCTTTTAAATTCCAAGGTACATGTTGCACGTCACTTAAGGTCCATGTTGCATATCTTAAACAGACATTAATAAACACTGACAGAAATATCAGGCTGCAGGAAACCTAATATTTCTGCAAACTAGATTAATTATGTTGAAAGCGAGATGTTATTTTTTCTAAGGATGATAACTGTTGTATTAAGTGACTTCTAAACAAAGGCCAACAAAAAATAAATTCAGAGAATAAACATGACGTTAATTAAGTCAAAATGATACAAGATGGAAAAAAAACGTCATAAAAACGGTCTATTGTTACTCTCAACGAGGAGTGGAGAAGTGAGCATACACACCGTGTGCTTCTCACTATGTATCGCAATGTGCGTCGCAATGTGTATCGCAAAAATGTACCGTAACATGTCTCGCAAACTTGCTCAAAGGAGTTTTCAATTATTATAATCATGGAGTAGCGCTAAACCCGTAGGATTATACCGCCTGTGGGGTGGGGGATGGAAGGCATTCAGGCTCAATGTAGGGAACTGGAGTACAGATCCAATTCCCTACATCAAGAGCTCCCTCACCAGCGTCAAGGAACCTTCCTTGAGGGGAGGAGGTTTTAAGCCTATCGACTTTACTCTATGGTGGTCACTGGGGCTCCATGTAACCTGTTCACCATCAGACTAGACTTTGATCACTATAGAGGGATTTAAGTAAACTCTGAGTAAATAAGAGAAATGTACCTCTTGATGTATATATATACTGTGTAAACTCAGGAGAGTCAAATAACAGCGGAGACGCATCTGCTAATCAATTTGATGCAGTTGTAAATGAATATATACCAGTTGCTACGTTTTACATTATGACAGAAAATGGGTTGTTACTAGTTATTTGATAGAAAATGGGTTGTACTAATTATTTTATGACAAAATGGGTTGCTACTAATTATTTTATGACAAAATGGGTTGTTACTAATTATTTGACAGAAAATGGGTTGTTACTAATTATTTGACAGAAAATGGGTTGTTACTAATTATTTGACAGAAAATGGGTTGTTACTAATTATTTGACAGAAAATGGGTTGTTACTAATTATTTGACAGAAAATGGGTTGTTACTAATTATTTGACAGAAAATGGGTTGTTACTAATTATTTTGACAAAAATAGGTTGCTACATTATACTGAAAATTACAAACTGGGTTTTACAAATTATTTTGTAACAAAATGGGTTGTTACTAATTATTTTTTTATGGGAAAAAAGGGTCGTTACAAATTATTTTATATGAAAGGAAATGGGTTGTTACAAAATTATTAAAAATCACAGTAAAATGAGACAAAGAATAAACTGTACATTGAGTTTTCGAGATATTCATTATGGATTAAATTTATTTTTAATTATTATTGGCGTTTTTGTTGTTGTTTTCCTTTCATACCAAAGTTAATTACAATTTTGCACCTGGATTATGTAAAAAAAATCCCAGTGCTGTCAAAACAACATCATTAACTATTTAAATATTGGCATTTGATGGGATTACTGAGTCGCATTTTTGTTTTATTAAGGTCATTGACTTTAATGGATATTTTTGGGTAGTATCTTTTCTGTAATATCTATGACTCTCAATACAAGAGCTTCTATCTTTTTTTAATCAAACTCTGATGTTGGAGGTAATGGGTTATAACTCAGTTGTTTTTCATCTCGACATTGTGAGAATTAGCGTAATTATTCACCCCCGTTGTTACAAATGAAGTGTGAGATTGTTTCTCTTTTCGTTTGATATATTAATTCTCGTCGTCTAGAAATTCTGCTAATGTGAGGATGTTGTTGAGACGGTTTATATACATCACTGCCTGATGCTGTGTCTACATACCATATATTTTGAAAATCTCTTGATTTTTTTTTTCAAAAATAATCATGTAGGTTAAATCTGTTAATTTCGTTTGAAATTAGGTATAAGTGAAAAATCTGTGATTGGTTAACGGGGGTTTCAAGCCTATTGACTATACTATAGTCACTAAGTTTGTCCTTAACCTCTTCACGACTAGACAATAATATAATTCTCAGTGTATATATAAATTAACAGACATACACCTCTCAGTGTATGTTATCTGATCTTTCCTTATTGGTCCGGTGACCAAATAAATACAGTTTTTATATATTATATTAATATAACTCAAACTAAAACATTAAAGGTCTTCAAGGTACAATATTAATGTTTTTTTAAAGGAAGAATTAATAATTTTCCGAATACAACAATAATTACCCTTTAAGTATTGTTTTAGTACTTTTTAAAGTACGGCAATGTTACTTTCCAGGAACAATATTAATGCCTTTTGTTGTGTTGTAGATTCGCCGGTATAATCGCCCGGCCCGGGCCTTTTCCAAGAGGTGGCCCGGCCTTGGCTCCCTGTTGAGGGAGTGTCTCAGACCAATGTCTGCCATGGGAGGGGGTAAAAGTACCTCCTCGTCTTCTGGGACCTGCTGTTCCCAGGCCTAGCCCCATTTCCCGCCCGCACGAGGCTCGTAGGGAGAAGCTATGCACCTTGGGCTGCCACAAACCCTGCCCACACTGGGATCGAAGGGTGTGGCAGCTGCGTAGCAGCAGACGATGTCATTAGGTGGGAAGGCAGCTAGCACTACATGATCCTTTTGGAATCACACCCCAGCTTTGGGCATTAAGCTCGAGCGC